ACAGGTATCTCCGATGAATCACCACGAGCCCCAGACAGGAAGCAGTAGTCCACTTGTACACCCCCTTGAGTGACCTTGAACTGTTTTTGTACCCTGCTTGACTTGTGTCTGTCGTTTCGGTTTGAATACACGCACATTGTTGCCTCTCTTCGGTCTTCCCTCCTGCGCCACCCAGCCTCTGCGCTTTGTATGCCCTGTGGTTTCGACAGTGCGCATTTCCATATCTGTTCATTACAGAACCGGCATGTGTCACCTTGTGAACGTCGGGTACCACTCATGCCCTGACAACCCACGCTATAAGGTTCAAACTATCCGGAAGTACAAAAAGTCACAGTTCGTTCACTCGTAATGCCAAACATAAACAGACGTATAAGGTGCAAACCCGAGTACTGGACCAGCACAAGTGTTCACATGTGATCTTTGCAAAGTTTACCGGTCAACCTTGTAAAACTGAAGGTCTGGAAAAGCTTGGTTCTTATTGGTGGACCATAACCCACCGACGAGGTCACAAGGATATGACTAAGGCAGCCAATAGCTGGGCGTTTTACTATTTCGTCCATACATCTTGCGCATGAACGAACGCAGACAAACGGGACCGTACACGTACAAGAAATAGGTTTGCATCTTCGTTCGCCCAGGAGACGTCAGTTCGCAGACGAAGTACCCAGACTGTAGCTTGGGTTGTGGACAGACACAAGATGCCCTTAGATCTGTTCCGAGAGGGTTTCTGAAGGACTAGAGTCCCCGAACTCAAACAAACCTTCAAGCGACTAAACGAACACGAATGCTTCGGAAAAGCAATGTATCATGAAAACGTTCCGCTCTAAGCAGGTCGGTAGGTTACATTCCCTAACCAAAGCCTTGTCCTGACGACTGCTACATATCCCCGCAAAAACCCTAAGTGAACCTGAATTACAAAGAACAATCGCATTTCCAAAGGCCAGAGGTCTTAAGGGTGGTGAACTCCCAAGAGAGTCGAACTCCCTTGAGTTAGATTTCCTTGCTCATATATCGTGAAAATGAAAAAAAAACGACACGGTTATTTTTGAGTTGATGTGTGGTGCGAAACTTATCGATGAGTTACTGCCCCTTGAAAATCTAATTCACATAGTTGGGGTTAACTTCACAGTGAGAGCCATGATGACGTTTTCTACCTCATTCTCACATCACACTGGGTATCAAACTGGGTTTTCTCCCGGCCAGACTTGTCTCTCAGCCCTTTTTGCTCATTGTCTTCAGTACTGGTGAAAGGAAGAAAGCCTTCGCTGTGGAGTTATTTATTAGAAAATGCCAGCTGGACAGTTACAGACTATCAGGAAGGTCAGATTCCTGAAATCAACTTCTGAACGCCCGGAACCTATTGCTCCACCAAAAGCTCAACTGGAAGCCGGCAAGCATCCAGGCCAGTCAATCATTCGATCAATTCAGTAAAACCTGATGAGTGTTCTCTGCGCCACAGAAGCACGACCGAATGTGATCAGCGTTCAGGCTTTTTCACAGAGGCACGATCGATGTTGATGGGTGTTCACTAACGCCTATCAGACAGCCTGGATCAATGTCAGAAAGTCCCCTTTAAATAGCGTGGGGCCGTTGTAACTTTTGCACTCTCACGCACTCTCACTCACTCGCTTGTTCGGAATACAGCTGTTGTGTTCCCTTCTGTTAGTCTTTTCTCTCCGACACTAGGCACTGGAGCGGGTCAGGTTGTAGGGGTTCCACCCTTTTTCTGATGCGACCAGTACGGCGTCTTGGTTGCAGCAATGGATCCGTCTTGAGCGGTACATGCGAAGCAGTGGCTATAGGTGCTGGTCTTGGGAGGTCAAAGGATTCAAGCAATAAGTTGAGGTTCAGTAACTGTTTCGAACAAGCGAGTGAGTGCGTGCGAGTGCGAGTGCAAGGGACGGGGAAGCGAAACTCTCATATGCATCTGGTTTACAAAAACTGAATATCCATCTTCTCCTTGAGCGCATCTTCCTGAACTTTTCTGGATATTCATTGATGGTCCAATAAAATGCTACAAGGCGAATCCACAAAAGCCGCAATAAATACTACTCGCATGCTTCCCCATCAGTAGTATCACCGTTACACTAGTAGAATCAGAAAACGAGTGTTCAATCTTTCAACTCAGAAGTTGGTCGTTGTTTCATTTATCCTATTCCTAGAATATTCCACGAGAGGTATGCGAAACTTCGGTTGTGAAACCAACCGTAAAGTTACGGCGGAAGATGGCATCTCAGTTGCAGCCATTAGAAAAATATGTACATTTTGGTGATTGATGTCACTAGAATTCACTCTGAAAATATGGTATCAATTGTACTGGAGAATTCTGAAACAAAAGGTTGCATCGCACATGAAAATCTCTGCTAAAAGCGGCCAATATTTAGGGCGAGTTATGCTTTGAGTAGGTCAGAAGCTTAACTCAGCAATTGCGGCAGGTTTACACACTTTTGTACAAGTTCTTACCCCACTGATGCACTGAGGTTTGGGTGTAGGCATGCTTTCAAACAATAGAGCTGCCTAATTCTCCGTATGACCTCCTCATGAAGATTGTTTCTATAAATGGCTGTGAACGTTTCTGCACTTACGAAAAGGAACAATGATACTGGTGCGCTATTATATACACCTGAGTGACTGCTAGGTAGGTTTGCTCAGAAAGCAATAAACGGTTCTTTAAGTCGTTTAAATACGACCTGTGGGTTGTCGACGAAATTCCAGCAACCTTAAAAGTAGTGCATTACGGCCTGTTAATCTTAATATTTGGGCCATCAAATCAATGAATCGTTCAGCTGTAACACAATTTCGGTGCCAACCCGAAGGAAGCATGAGGACTGGGATACTGTAACGTTGCCCAAACCTAGACAGGGGAAGTCGAGATGCAGAGGTCCTGTTTGAACCAGGGACCTTTTGGTCAGTAAATTCGCGTTCTAACCACTGAGCCATTTCGGCCAAAGATGGCATCAAAACTGTTCCAAAGTCAAGCAACAATATGTTTGGGATATGTCATCAGGTTGACAGACAATGCCAGTGCCAACGTCGAGATCGATAAAGTACATAAAGTGAACTTGTTGACTGTGCTGGAATAAAACTAACAAAGTTAGAGAAAGATGACACTTCCGTTGTGTAACTTCTGGCGGCCAAAATTTCCTTACCCTGAATAAAAGAAAAAAATTGAAGGGAATAATCGACATCTATAATGATTAGTTTGCGTTTCAGAATGCACAAGTCGAACCCGTAATAATAAAAGAATCGTCCATTTGAAACACCCTTTTGTTGCTTAGTCGCTATGTTGCCTGAAGGAAGCGTGAAGGCTTAGGTACTGCCAGGTTGCTCAAGTCCAGCCAGGAGCAGTCCACAATGTAGATTTTGGGCTCGAGCCAACCCGGGATAGGAGACGTGCCTAGAAGGGTTGGAAACGTTTGCACACATATTTGACTCCTGTGGAATGCAATTCAGGAGGATATCAGGGCGCTCCTTCCACAGAACAAGGCAAGACGAACAACAGACGCTGATCGCATGTTAAACTTTAGGGTGCCCAACACAAATTACTATTAGTGACTGAGTAAGCATTTGTTGCTTTATGAAAGCTTACAACCATTAGCCTGATGAAATTATTACTGCGCAGACTTATTTGGCCACTAAAAGTCCACTACATTGATCCTAAAGGGAACATACTACTCATAAGTTTGTTGAAAGCTCCTTGACAGCCGATGGTCGGGGAATTTAACTGAGTTAAAACCAAATTTGTTTGCAAATGAGTGTGTTCAACCATACTATGATGAAGTTATTATGTACTCTAGTCTCTGTAGTCATAAACTACTTGGAAGTGGCTTTTGTCTAAAAATGGTTTATAATACATGATGCTGTACTATGTAGTATCTATTGTTATTTATATTTTTGTATGTATACTATAGCAATTCTAGTTGATCACACTGTCGATTACGCGCCCGTTTCCAAGCGGTTTGTTTTTCAACTATCAACCGAAAGGCTCCAAGTTCGAATCGCCCTAGAGATGCGCACCTTTCAATAGGGATAATACAACTTGGCAGTGCTTCTGGGCTTTAGGCTCGGAGTAACTTCCGTGTCGATGTAAAAATAATAAACAGGTGTCTGTTCAGAGGATGATACCAAATATTTTATTTAAAGTTTTTTCAAATTGGTGCAAAAATATCCACATTTTGTACTCAGTGTGTGTAAAGCGTGAGAAAAATCACAGGTGTCCCTATCTGATCTCTTCAAGCGGACAGTCAACACAGAGTATTAACTTCCGCTCACGTTTGAACAACCCTACTCCATGCCTAAAACAAGCATTTTTGTTTGGACCGCACCCAACAGGCGAATTTCTGAACTCAATTTTCGCTCTCATTAAAGATATTCAGTAGTGCATATCTCCGACCGTGCTGGGGTTCGAACTTCGAACATATGACATGCGAGGCTGACATATCACCAGTGCTCAAGCGATGCATTTTGACTGACTTGTCATATCAAGTCAAAACAAACAAGACTGCCCAATGGCTTGAAAGACGGTTCTGGGTGTGTTGGTCGATTAATGAACACACTTAGAACCTTCAAATCATGTACCCCCGCGGATAATGGGAATCTGCTGGACAGATTCCCCATTGGCCTTACATGCATGGCATATGCTTTTACTCCCCTCATCCACTTATAACATAGTTGAGGAGTGAAGGTTCCAGGAAGACCGTATACATACTGATCAGGCGGTCAAACTTTTTTATTTCAAGACACAGACCCACCAATAACACTAAGCCGTTTGTTTGCATTTCAACCTGTTGACAGCCGTGCAAGCTGGATGATTGGTTGTTCCACGCACCACTGTCTCAGTTTTCCGATTATTATCTGACCAACTCGGATTGGATATGGCTCGGGCATGTTTTGACAAAATATCCAATCACAACAAGCGCACGTTTTGGCGAATACAATTTAAGTGGTCAGTTGTTAGCTGGTCTTGTCTCAGATGCTCTAGTTGGGACCCTTTTCACAGCATGACCAAAGACGAAGCCGCTTCTCAACTGACCTACAGCATCTTTAGTCAGGTGTATCATCGAGTCAAACAAGCACGAGACAGATTTTACAGCTGGCGTTATTTTTGTTGGGTCGTGCTCTTCGTTTCTGCCATAAATGTGATTTTTATTGGCGGAAAGCGTCGAGCTTTCGGAATCTTTGTCGCCGCTCTGCATAGTTCCTACAACGAGACAAGTATGTCAGAACTGAACTGGATTGGGGACAGCTATGCGTCTTTGGGATTTTTCCTAATGCCGTTCGCCACAACAGCGATTGTTCGACTAAATCGTCCATATCGGTTCACCATGTTCCTAGCCGGAGTGACCATATTCACCAGCTGCATGACGTCGGCTTCTGTGCCCGATCCAAGCTATTTGTTTCTCACACACACCATCCTTCATGGTATTGGTTCAACTCTGGTTCTGTGTGGATGCAGTCTGGTCACCGGAGACTACTTTGACAAAACACATCGATTTCATGTTCTGGCCACAGCATTCGTTTCCGGCGGACCGTATGGCGTATTGTTATTCGGACCGCTGTTTTCCTATTGGATACATGATTACAGTTGGCAAGATGCCTTTATCTTCAGTGGAATTCTATTTCTGTTCGTCACGTGGTTGGGTGCAGTGATTTTTCTTCCACGTGATATGCATGAGTACAGCCGAGCTGAGCTGACTTTATCCGAACCTCTGGCTGACAGAGATGCGGGGAAAAAGGACGATATGAGAAAACCAAAGAAACAGAGTGCAGCGGCAAATATATACCTACGTGATCAACCCAAAGCAAGTGATGGCCGTGGATGGGCATTCTGTTCGGTGGACCATTTGCGTACCAATCCGCAGGTGTTCTTGTGGGCTTTTGAACGTCTTCTCCACAACATTGTCATCTACGGTCTACTCATGAATCTGACCGCCTATGTGACACAGTCGTTGAACAACGAACTTATTCGTGGTGCGAAGGTCAACCTCTACTTTGGTATTGGTGAATCGATTATTTTCACAATCGGTGCCTTGATTGGAGATCGAATAAGGGGCAAGTTGCCCATAGTCTATTTGATTGGAGCTGCCTTCTCAGCCTTGTTCCTAATCATTGTGCAACGGAGCTACACGGATATCAATGTAGTCTATGTGTTGTCTGGGCTAACAGGGGGAGCTGTGGGTGTGGGGAACACGTTCCTATATGCCACAGCTGAGGAGGTTATGCTCGTGCATGGATCAATTGCTTTTCCCATGACCAAAATGGTTGCCGGGGTCGGAATGATCATAGCCCCGGCATTTTCCGGTTCTGTGATTGATGGATACGGGTACAGGGGTTTTTTCATAAGTATGGCTATTCTCGTTTCTCTACGTGTGGTTCTTCTGGCTTTGGTATGCATCATTCTTCATCATAAACACAAGATGATGTTGAACGAGGTCGTGGAAAAGGGTCTTCTGGGCGAGCAAAATAACATGGTTCACTGTTGTCAGTACACAACGCAAGATTGCGAGATTAAACGGATCGAACGGGAAAGAAGACAACGACACGAGTCTGAGCAACAGCAACACGAGGATCAAGAGCTTCCAGAAATGATTTCAAAGAATGGATCGAAAAATGAACACTGGAACTCTGATCCAGACCAGAAAGTCCCATAAATAGCCGAAGCTATTCATAGGGTTGGGTGCAATGGCTTCAACGTAACGGAGTCACCATTCGAAAGGATTTTATTTATCATAAACGGACGAGACCACATTACCCTCTCGGTTATGCGCCAAAAACACCGCTGTCAATGAGATTGTTTTGCCATGAACAAACTAACACTGTCCGGCAAAACATATCACTCGTATTCTTACCTAAGTTTTCCCATTCTAGAATTCAATTCCACCCTAACCGGAAGGAGGTGAATCACATTGACATTCGTCTATTATTCTGGGTGTGGAATAAGCTGGATATTTATCTACAATCCGCAAACCTGTGGCGTATTTTCATTTTATAGAATCGTCATTAAAGTCCGCTGTTGTCAGATGTGCTGTATTTCTGAAATTGTTTGATGACAAGTGAATAGACAATGGAACTATCCCTCATCAGAACATAATTTTGGGACCGTCTAGCATGCATTTTGTTTGTCGATAGGTAAGTTAATTCATGCGGACAGACTAATGCCTGATTCCTGAAGGTGATTTGAGTACCAACCGATCACTACTCCCGAAACACTAGTGTGTCTAGACATCGTCAGATATTTTCATTGGGACTGAGGAGTATGGTCATTCAAGATGTAATTTCGGAATCTTTTACTCATTGGTGTCATCCTCATCTGTGCATGCAATGATGCTTCACTACCGTAAAGCCACGAGGTCAAGTTAAACCGCTTCAAAGCCATGTAACTGCAAAAAAGGGTGAAAGGGGAAGGGATATCTTCCGGCAGCCATGCAGCCATGTGCTCGGTTAGACAAAGTGAAGAAAATTATGCGCCAATCACATTGATTAGCCGCCTTATCTCGAGTCATAAGCAGGATGGGTCGTGGAGGCCCCACCCTGGAAGCCGGACGGCACCGATAACACCCGAAATTTTCATACTGTCTCTGCTGCTGTTACGATGCAAATCAGTAGTTGCTGCCGCCTGTCCGTCCCGGCTATCGATAAGATCACGTGGTTAGCTGGAATAGACTGTACAGGGGAGATCCCTGGAGCTCCAACCTTTGTTATTATCGACTGTGGCCCCAGTTTTGTGAATTTGTGAGTAGATATCATCGGTGTCAGTTGAGCGCTATATCTTGTCTGAGCCGCTGATTGCCAAATGGTTTACTGCTCAACCACTAGCTGGAAGTTTGCAGGTATCCGGGTTTCGTCAAATTCGGAACAAGGATGAAACAGGTGTACAGTGCTTTTTGGATCTTCAGTATAGAGTGGTTTGACTGACAGGATTAAATCTCTATGGAAACTCACCAAATCTCGTCATATCCCTATCCAACCCCCTCTACCATGGTGACCTCTTTTGTTGTTGACTTTGTAGAAACATATGAAAAACGGGAACCTTGGTACAACAACATCGTCTGACCGAGAAAGTCGTTTTGAAGTTCTGCGAACGGTGATGATCACCTTTCCTGGTCCTGTGGCCATCGGAGAAATCAAATAATTGAGCTCAACAAGTTGGGTGGAGTCGGGCAATAAATTTGCCGAGCATTCTTTAGCTCCATCCTAATGAGATGAGAACTCACGGATACAAAATTTTCACCTGTCCCCCAAACTTACTACCGGCTTTTTTTATCACAGTGAATAAGAGAATTACTAACAAAATCAAATCGACACCCATAACTTTAGTTGTGTTCGTAACATCTACGATTTAGTGTGTTTAACCGTACGATCGATCGTTTTGCGGGAATTTATGAAATTTCAGAAGCACGCCGAAATAAGGCAGGATTTGAATGAGTTATCTTACAATTCATCGTCAGTCTATCTCCCTTGGAATGCCCACCATAAAGAGCTACTGCCGTCCAAATTTGAACATTTTAGCCACCTATTTATGCGTAATTTTTAAGCGTACACAAACCTACTGAGCCTTAACAACTGAAAAACATTCTGGTCCCCCAAGCCGTTTTCGCTGAACGCTAATTAGAACCTAAATCCATCCGGCATACACCAGATTAAATCTTCATCTTGTCGGTTTAGCCCCACACCATAGACGGACTGATTTTAAATTAGGATTCGGCTTGTCAGTTGACTTTGCGTTCCACACTTTCCTAAGCCCGTTTTCCAATTTTCCCGAGTTGTTTTCCACATTCTCCGGTTATATTTGATAAAAATAGACCGAGCCGGAGAGGCAGATTTGAGGCGAATGTGCAATTCTGCATCACGAAGCATTCCCTGCCTTCCACGAAAGTTTTAGATGAAAATTTAGCCAATAAATCGATAGTTTCGACTATTTCCTTAGCTGTACGTGAGGTCAGATTGTACTGAAAAGCCCAAAAGCAGTGTACAACTCTTTCATCCTTATAGAAAAGAATCAGCGCCTCACAAAACTCCAGAGAATCTCGAATTCGAACACTCAACACTTAGCTGGTCATCACCGAATGGTTAAATGTTCGAGCAAATAGCCAGGAGGTCTCGGGTTCGAGACTCACTGGAGCTTCGTGAGAATCTCACTTGGGATGATTCCCAATAAAAATCGCGAGTGGCTGATCAACAGTGTGTGTATGTGTGTGTGTCAAATCTCCACGAAATTCCCAAATCTCCTCACAGGCTCATTTGACCACTCTGTCATGCAAAAACTTGGCGCATAGTGATGAATCCGGGAAGTACCCGCATTATGCCATATTAACTTCCACCGTTTTCTAAGAAGGTGTTAGAACTACACAAGCATAAATTAGTTTTTTCATAAAATTGCAAAGACGATAATTTATTTTGCACGAGGAGATAATTCAGTCGAGGAAACCAAATCGGTTTCCTCGCATGGTGTTTTTGCAAGCGAGAGCGTGTGTAACAACGGTTTTGAAAGGATGTACAATACATTGAATTGCATTGAACAATTAGCTCTGTAATCTTGTAGATCAAGATGAATGATTTTTAGGGAACGAGTGACATTTTGCCGTACAAAAGAGGAAGTACAGTCCCAGATCTTTCGCAACCATCAGGTATATCGATGACGGATATGAGTCTACTGCAGTTGCTGTCAAAATCACAAGTTCTTCCCAACTGGGAAAAAATAAATTTCCTGTTCCAGGATTAGTGAATCATCCACAGGTAGGTGACGTCATAATTGAAATGCAGTTTGCCATTTGCTTGAATATCCAATTCGATACATTTTGGCCAGAGACAGTCAGTATCTCCGGCAGTTTCTGCATTACCAGGGTACGCTACTACTCTCCACGGACATTGCTGAGTAACATGAAAAAGTACTTTCAAAAATTAGGCAAAGTTTTAAAAGTGGACCGGAAGGTAGGCAGTAAAAACAGCCAGCACACGACAGCCCGTTATTCCCAAATATACCGCAGCTACAATTTTGTTGTGATGCATCTGTACCGTACAATTTTTTCTGTTCATGGATCTTATTCGAACCTAGGTAGGAATTTATTGAAATATTGCTAATTAGGGTGTGTTAATTCAGTGTGCATCAGATGGCTGCTGTTTTGCTCGCTGAGCTTGGCAATCATCTTGCAGACGCTTGGTGACGAGTCGTGGGAACGTTATCAGTGTGCACTGACGAAATGTCTGCGAGCAGATCAATAGCCAGCTGATGAATCTAGCGAGAACGAATGAAATCAACTTCTTCGGTTCGGCTGGGAGAAAAATGAAATCATAGCTTGCCGGTCCATCAGTATGTCTTAGTTCTGTTCAACAAAGATTAAAATAAGTGGCTTTGTCAAGGTTGCCGCTGGAATCACCCTCAGGCATGGGATGTTTTGTTAAACGCATGCAAAACACTTGTGTTTAAGGGACAGTTTAGTAATATCTACATGAGACCCCCTATTGAGGAGGATACTGTATTTCCAGAAGAAAACCAGCATTGTTTGGTGGAACCTTTGGAAATCTATATGGGGTAAGCTAGCCATGGACCATCTGAAATTAGTGGCAAGTATCTACTGAAACTTCATATTAAATTCATACTAGTCACACATATTACTGAAAACCTTTAATTCGTTTTTAGCCTATCCTTAATTAGTCCCAATTTTGAGGATTCTCGTAGGTGTGTACTAATGAAGGGTTGGATTGTATATAGTTAGTGTGTCTGACGGTTATTACTACTCATTTTAACGACGCTTGCTGACGTCGTTTGCTGTTGGCGTAGATGGGTTTGTGTAAGCGACGTTGCTGGAGCGAAACCATTTGCGCAGACGTCACAACATGGTCATGTCCTAACGGTTTCGATGACAAAATGATTGTGGTTTTTTTGATACAGATGTATCGCTGTTCTTCAGTGGTGGTTCACATTTTCTCGCCTGACCGCATCCGGTGACCTGAACCCGACCGGTCTAACAAGACGGAGCTTGTAGATGGGTGAGGTCATTTGTCAGCAAGCCCAACTGCCTAAACTGTGAACCCATGCAGACGCTTTTGTAGAACGTTTCTTCGCTTGTTTGAGCTCTAACCACGGTACTTCAGGAAGGCTGCACGACGCCGATTGTCTCTGTGAAACTGGTGCCATTCGGACCATCATCAAAAGCTGATAGCAGCAGAGCCAAACAGGGTCAGATCACAGAGTCACATCCGCCCAAGGTTGAGTTCTCCGGTCTTGGCATATTATGGACAGTGTCGAGTCAAAGCCCAGCCTACTGCTGAATACGATTTCAGTCAAGTTTGAGCTCAAAACATTTCACAAACATGACGAAACCTGTTGCAGTTGACTTTAGGATATCCTGGGTCCAATGGGACTACCTATTCCGGACCAGAAGTAACAGGGGCCTTCTTTATTGTTTCGCTTCTAAGCTACGACATTCTGTTCATGCTTTGTCGTGTCGCAGTTGACTTTAAGATATCCTGGGTCCAATGGGACTATCTATTCCGGACCAGAAATAACAGGAGCCTTCTTTATTGTTTCGCTTATAAGCTACGACATTCTGTTCATGCTTTGTCTCCTTCCCCATTTTGTTTACAAAAGTGCAGCGAATTACGTCAAGGTAAAGGGTAATCTCTCTTCTTACATGTCACAAACATGTCCGTCCACGGGGTGTTCCAGGTCATCTTAGATGCTGAATGCGCTGATTGCGGGCTTTTTCAATCTTCTTCAGAGCAGTAGAAGTCCCAACTCACGAACTTCAAAAGGGAACAGATTTCAGATATGCATGACTTGGCCCGTGATTCCCATCAGCTTGAGAGTAATTAACACACCGTAGAAGACTATTTCATTCGTATAACTTTTGTATCAGGCTGAAATGTGCGATTCATAGAAAAAACAACAACAAAAGGATCCTGTATGTTGTTAGGGGTTACATTTTATGAAATCTGCTCTTTGTTATCCGTTATGCTACACCCAAAAGGTAGACTCGGTGAGTTGTCGTTCGGTCCGCTTTCAGGGTAAGTCGCGCAACAGCCTCCACGGTTGTTCCAACCTGAATTGACATGGGGCGGAAAAAGAGACCGAGTGAGTTAGCCGTTTCGTTTCACATCTGAAGCGTCTGCCAGCTAGTGGATAAGAAGTGATTTTCATGATCCTGAATGTCAGGGAGTATAAGGCTCGATGTGTACATGCAGCAGACTATATATTCGTTGAGTCTTCAATCTTAATCCCGGTCGCCAATGCGGATGCCCAAAGACGGCTTGTTGGCCCACAACCATTTAACGAAGAATTATCTATTTTGAGGAGAATATTCACCCTATGTGGTTTCCTCTATGTAGAAAAGTAGGTGACACTGGTCTTGAAACACCCGTCTATGTACGAGGGTACACAATTGCTAATCATCATCATCATCGTCATCATCATCATCATCATCATCGTCATCATCATCATCATCATCATCGTCATCATCATCATCATCATCATCGTCATCATCATCATCATCATCATCGTCATCATCATCATCATCATCATCGTCATCATCATCATCATCATCATCATCATCGGCCCTGTCATAACCCAGAGTCCTTGGTGAGCGCAGCATGTAACGACAGACAAGCTCTGTTTAGACAATATGGTTGGGAAGTGTCCGTTCGGTGCTTGGTCCTGTTGGGTTCCTAACCACGTTGTTGTGGGATCATGTTGACCCAATTAGAAGGATGAAAAGACCCATATTAACGGATCGACGGTGATCAGCTCCATATTATGTTGCCAAATAAAACGCTCGCTTCCGCGAGTCTTTTGTCAACAAGAGTTTGGAGTTGAAGACAATAACGGTTATTGTGAATGCGAGGTACACGTTTCAACCGCCTTAACCTTGTAAACTTTTGTTTGCTGATCTGATGATTCTGTTTCATTGACAACTATTCGCTAAACCACCGCTTCACTGCAAATACGTTGCAGCCAGCTAAGACCCGCTGTGTTGTACGACCACCAAGAAACCTTTCGAAATACTTTACTCCGAATAACTGACGTTGTAGTCGCTACTTTCGCGAGATAAGCGAAATCTTGTCCCGCACTTATTAACACACAAGTGTTAAAAGACGGCACAAAATGTTGGGCTAGAGAGGCGTGACAAAGCCACAGATATGAATTTTTGTATGAATTACTGAATACTTCAATCAAAATATATCTCTTTCATTAAATACCTTCCTTCGGTGAACATATTCTAGGCTAGCTGACTGCGCGCAAAACTTCCGTTTGACAATAACCGAATATAAAGAAGCACTCACACTAGAAAAGTTTGAAACGCTCTTTTGACTGTTTTCAGGGTTCGGGGAAACATCTCTCTCCTGAGGCAAACATTGTTTTGTCTCCTATTAGAATCAGTAATCTATCTGCCCTATTGTGGTATAGTTAAACGATAGTTCAAACACCGAACCTTCCAAAATGACACAGAAATGGGCTTCGTATCAAGCTGGCTCTTTCGTTTCGGTCACATATATCAAAGTTTGTAAAATGTAAGCAACTCGTTTGTGAGCTGCCCAATCAGACGTTTTTACCGCCTGAAGGATTTATCACTATGCTAGACATTAGCCAAAAGAATGCCTGCGAATAAGGACGCATAAATTTGAGCTTGAAACGCGAAATACGGATACAGACAGACATTGTCTGCAAATCGAATTTGTCAACGGAGAGTCTGCAACCGTTTTTGTTAGACACTTACTGCAACGTCTGCTTTTGGTATCCAGCGAAACCGAATGGCTCGTTCAACCCCCTGGTCCACGGTGGCCTGTGGAGGATAATAGAGAGTGCGAACTTTAGGCGTTCCGAGAACTAACTGGGCCAGAAAACAGCCAAACAACTTCAATAAGTTGTGCACAAAGCTACCTGAGTACCTGGAAGGCGTAAGTCAACAGTTAAGTCAAGGTTAGCTGCATGTGTGTTTTTGAAAACTGAAACATCATCCACGTCAGAGCTAAGCAAACATTTTGACCGAAAGGATCAATTTCGAAGGCCAGTAATGGGTTTTAAGATTTTCAATCTACAACACTGAAGCTCGAGGAAGTCTCTTGCCTTGTATATTGAATAATCATCATCGGCCGTATCAGGAGATGATGGAAGACCCCAATGGAGACTTTGTTCTTTAGGTGAAGCCGATCTATACTGAAAAGCCGAAAACCAGGCCTTTTATCTGTTTGCTTCTTATTGGGAATCACTAGCAGTACGCATCTCACAAAAATTCAGTAGGGAGTCTCGAACCAGCGACCTCTCGGCTAGTAATTTCAGCAATCAACTTTTTGTCCAGGAGCTTGTCGGCGGTGATGTTGATGCCTTGACGGATGAGTGGCGCTATATCCTGTTTAGGTGGGAGCAAGTCATACTGGTAATCGGCCACTTGTGGCCAAACAGCCACGTGTTCAAACTGCTAGCCGGGATTTTGCCGGTTCGAAGTTCCATACTGGAGTTTTTTCAAGACTAATGATTACCAACAAAAATGAAACAACTGTACAGTTCTTCTCAAATTTTCAGCATAGATTGGCGTTAGTGAAAAGACAAAACTTCCAACCATCATTTGTTATCAGCTGACTCGTGGTGTGGTTAACATGCGCTCACCCATACCTAATTGCAGAATATGATTTATACAGTCCCGGAAGAAAACATCCTATCGAAACACATTGACCTTCCTCATCTGAAAAGCGGTTTCAGTAGAACACTTGTCAGAACATCAGCTGTCAGGGATGCTAGTAGTTGTACCGCAGTGTTCAGCTACAGCGGGGAAAACCACGAGTTCGCTTCCTGCAATTCGTGCAATGGGGTCTGTGTGTACCACTACAAGTGAAAGAACTGCGCAGTGAACATTTTGTCAGTGAAGAGTAATCTTACTTTGCCTTAAGGGACAGACTATTTTAACCATCGATCCATTGCTACGCTCCACCAGACTCTCTGATGATGTTATCTTTATTGGTAATGAAGCGCTAGCAATCAAATTACTCAGCTCAGCGAACAAATGAAGGATCATTTAAGTCAAATGAGTCACCAGCCCTCTCCTCAGATCGGTCGCCATCAGGCTGAACTCGGCTGTACGCTACCTTACAGACCAACCCGTATTGGCAGAACTACGAGGGAACTAGCAATAGATAAATGTGCCACGTGTCATCTATCGTACCGGCATGAGACTACCATGAACATTTAGAACCGGAAGGATTTACACTGTACAGGCAGTTGCCACTCGTTGCTACAGACCAGGTTTACTTGTACAACAGAGCAGACCGGTGCAAGCAGTTGGTCTACACGAATTTGACAGGTCAACCGTCTGATGTCTGGACGAAAAATGAACGACGTTTGACTGAACAACGTAAAACTATGAACCCGTGGAATCTGTCAGACTGCACCGTACCTTCAACGTCAGACTGCCACACTTGATTTTTATTCTTGTTTACTATTTGTTTTGCATACTACTTATATAATTCGATCAGACGACTGTTCTGAAATAACATTTGCGAGTTGTATCTCTTTCAACTTTTAGGTGAAGTATAAAAGGGAACACATTTCGCAGTGTTTCGGGTCATCTTGACCTGAGGAGTGGGGGGAAGGCCAATATTTCCCTGCTGTAAGTAAGGAACCATGATTGAATCAAATCAAAAACTAAACAATTTAGGACCATCTAGGTCACTACATATTTCCTTTCACCAAATGTCGGGAGCATTATAAACATTCATACGAATCGGAAGATGGTAGTCATCAGTTCATTCAGGTCGAACTCCAAAATGGATCGAATGGCTCAAACATTACATGTGGGTTGATCGTAGAGCACTGGGAGACCTCACTTTGGATTTTCTACCCAAAAAACGTGAATTATAGCTGTCGTGATTGAAATAATTTGAGTATTATCTTCCCCCTTAGGAAACCTTCTTCATAGAAATACACATATCGGAGCAAATGCATTCTATCCGGCCACTGGATAACGATTTTTTTACTAACACATCTACACAGTGTTTGGCATTTGTACCTCAATGGTGGTATACAAAGACAACTTTTCTGGAAGTTGGAAATCTTGAAGAGCATGGGTTCTTCCGGAGCTAGAAACGATTTCACTGAACTAGGCTGTTGCTGTGACGTATTTGTTGTTGAGGGGAATTTGAAAGGGCCTGGTCTTGCTCAGTTACGGCAGCCTATTTTCAACATAATAGCCAAAACGTCAGCTGATTACGGATGAAAAACCACGTGATGTGACGTATTTGTTGTTGAGGGGAATTAGAATGGACCTGGTCTTGCTCAGTTACGGCAGTCTATTTTCAACATAATAGCAAAAAAGTCAGCTGATTACGGATGAAAAACCACGTGACGTCCTGTTGAAATTACCATAGAGGTTGAAAAGACAACAGTATCCTTTTGGCAACTATTTATTCGACCCATGTAATTAGACCGAAACGACAAGGTGCATGTCGCTGACCAATAACCAGATAATTACCACGGCGGACTAATAGTATATGTCACGGAATCGCGTGTCGAAATTTCCCCATTCTGCCGTATTTTAGAATGAAATCATTAGAACATTGTTGTGTGTGTGACAAAGACCGAATAAAATGGGAACTTTCGATCCGTTTAGGCAGGGAACTGTAAGAATTCAGCTTTGCTTCATTAAGAGGTTTAGGGGGCCTGGGTAAAAGGAGTACGGTGCTCGATAACTCCCTTGAAACCTGATCGGTGTGGAAGATAAGAGCCAGGGCTCCTCTGAGAAACTTGGCAAACAGAAATCACATGACCACAATTCTTGACTTAGGAATATGAATCAGAAGAGTGACAAAAGAAGTTCGGCGTTTTTATCAGTCTGCTGGGTCCACCCGTATCATTTGACTGAGTACTTACAAAAACCTGAAACAAAAAAATTGACAAGAAAACTTGAAACTAAAACTGAAACTTTTAGCCAGATGTTCAGATGTGTGACCTCTCTATCCCCGCCGACTGGATCTCTGTTAAGACGGAAGACCTCACAAGGCACAGAAGATGCGAACTCTGTTACACCGGCTAATTAACTCCCAGTTCCGTACTCACAGGGTTGCTGGCTAACGTGGAAACCCCTCAAGAAGAAAACGCGTAGACCTAAATAATTGGAATGAAAACAGAAGATTCTTGGTTGAAGTAGTTCAGATGGATAAGAATGTATGGTCGGCTGAGAAAGTAGGCACTCGAGACAATTTCACCATGCCTTGTATCCACGAAACTGACGGAAAGATAACAACGCACTTCGACTTTGTTCTGCCCCAAAGATGACGGACTGCTCAAGCAGATGGAGTAATAATCATTCTACCCTGACGTTCTGTCGATTAGTTTTGACAACATCCAGGTCATCCACAAACGTCAGTACCGGGTGGAGGTCGACGCTGTGCCAAGTACAGTTGAATGAAGTTAGGATGTAAATAGCAAACGTCAGGATCGGAGATACGAAGCAAACGACAAGAAGTGATGCACAAAATACAGCAGCGAAGTTGTGGAAAGCCTGACGAGACGGTAAGCCCAATAGCGCTCGTGGTTCATAATCACAAGGTGTCAATTTCGTGCATTTCGGATGTAAGTAGGTTCAAGATGGCAAACTAATTTTGTGACGACACCGCACTTGGTGGAATCACCATCCTCATGAATTTCACTTGGTTAATTATGGACACAGTATTGATGAGAAGCCTTTGAAACACTGATCAGTATTTCGCTTGATCTGTGTTTACTGGAGACTGGATAGCTTTTACATGAAAGTAGTAATAATGACTGAATGCTTGCGTTGTCTTTTCTCTATTTCGCGAAGAGATGTGGAAAAATGGCCGATAGAAGACCCATATATCGTGTTTTGAATTTTTTTGTCGCAAACATAAAACTTACGTTTTTGTGCTTCTTTTGAGATAAGGTGGACGATTCGGGCTAGTCTGTCCGGACGCTGGGAACCGCGAAAACAGGGCTTTGGATACAGTGGAAAATTCTGCACTAGAAAAGTACTTGTAGGTAACGGCTGGAAACATGATATTTCCATCTGGATTGGGAAGGCCAAAGCAGCTTTTGTAAGCCTGCGTCACATATGGTATATGCGGGACATCAGCTTGTCCATCAAGGGTCGAGGTTACAATACTGTGGTGCGCTCCATATTACTATATGGATCAGAAACCTGGCCGCTGCGCGCTGAAAGGACGTCAAAAAACCTTCAGTGTTTGACCATCCATGTCTTCGGAGCATTGACCGAATCTGGTGGGAACACCGAATCAGCAATTCTGAAGTACGCCGAATGGTATTCGTGAGAAATAACTCATCCTCGATGGATAAACTGATCACACCGCATAGGTTGCACTGGCTTGGCCACGTGCTCCGTATGCCAGTCGATCGACTTACTCCAAGGGTTCTTTTTGCACAACCACGTGAAGGGTAGCGGTCAAACAATGACTTGGCAGGGAAGTATAAAAGCCATTACCAGGAAACTCAGCTGCGCTGCTCACTGCCGTCTTCCTGGATGGGGACCCCGAGACGGGCCACATCAATGGCTAGAGACATTATCAGACATGGCCCAGTCGCGCCCTCAATGGCGCTCATGCACCCAAGCTATTGTCTTCAATGCATAGCTCCCTTCCCAATCCCCCCATTTGACAGTCCACTGACAGTGCTGTATTCACGCACTAATTTATCAGCTCCCGCCTCCAATGCGGAGCTACCTACCCCACCTCAAACTAATCGGCGAACGAAACTGTGTCAGCTACAACCATTGTACGACAAGTATGCGGTTCTTACAGCTGACAGTGATGAGTGCAC